AAGGACCCCAGAATAAGGTACCCTAGTTTTCGGAAACTCCCATGTAATCCTAAGTCACATCTCTGCGCAATCCGAAGGCAACTTACCTCTCTGCACCTCTAGGACAGCCAACACGCGCCTGTTGAAAACGCCAGTAATGCAGAACGGGCGTTCCCCAACAAAACACATCAGAAGACTGGCCCAAAGCCGATAAAAAAAGGAGCTGAAGCGACCTTAAAAGGTCTATATCGAGGTCTTTTGTCAAATCCGCAACCCTAAATCCTAAATCCTAAACCCTAAACCCGAAAGTATACATCCTAAACCCTAATCCAGCTGAGGATCATTTTGAGAAATTCCCCAAGGGATGCGAAGCTCGCAGAGACGAGCTTCAGAACAGGCATTGCTTCGAGACACCTGACCTGTAAATGGGGTCTTTGTAAGGTTAAGGTTTTAGGGATTCGGTTTAGGGCTGAGGGTTTAGGGATTCTTACAGAGTCCACACTACAGGGCTTTGAGTGTTTTGAGTTTAGGGGTTAGGGTGCACGAAATTCACGGTGGAAGTCTAGGGTGGTATGTCTGTTAGGGTTTAGGGTTTAGGGTTTAGGGTTTGGGGTTTAGGGTTTAGGGCTGACAAAGACCTCAAGGCTCAACATAGCCCAGGAACCTTACATGATATGGTCTTTGATCCAAACTAGCTCGAACATGTGGCCCCTTCGAGATTTCGGGTACAACTACAACTATTCCTGGTACAACAACAACAACAGCTACTACTACTACTACTACTACTACTACTACTACTACTACGGCTACGGGTTTCAGGGTCAAAGATGGCGGACTCTCTCAAGGCCGCAGTAGCCATCGGGGGTGTCTCGCTTCGGGCCCATTGGCGCCGTTCGCACCGGTACCCCCTAAGCCCCGGCTACTACAGCCGGGTCATGGTGAACCCTGAACCCAAGCAAGCCTGTACGGATTCATGGGGTGACAGTTTAGGAGTTCGGGTTCTAGGAGTTTAGGTTTTAGGGTTTAGGCCACAAGCCACGATACCATAGCAGCTTTTTTTGGCAGAGCCCCTATGACCGTACACTCCGTGGGTGGTTTACAAACTCCAGCTCCTAAGCAACCATGGATTTGAGTTGATATTGGGCTAGGGCTGGGGTTAACAGCTCTCCCCATTGGCTGAGTAGGCATGGGAGCGTTGATCCCAACCTCACTTCGGTGATGTATAGCCATCATCGAGGATCACACCGGCCTTAGTGAAACAGGATTATGCTGGACCCTGAAAAGACCTTAAAGAACCATTTTGGAACCCCTGAACGAACCCTGCTGGAAACCTTACTGCGGAATCCTTTAAAGGAGCCCAGGAACCCTTCTGGAAACCTTACTGTGGAATCCTTTAAAGGAACCCAGGAACCCTTCTGGAGACCTTACTGTGGAATCCTTTAAAGGAACCCAGGAACCCTTCTGGAAACCTTACTGTGGAATCCTTTAAAGGAACCCAGGAACCCTTCTGGAAACCTCACTGTGGAATCCTGTAAAGGAACCCAGGAACCCCTTACGAAGGAACCTTCAATCGTCGCATGAGCTGGCTCCGTTTAATTTTAGGGTTTGGGCTTCGGTAGAGTCTACAGGGTTTAGGGCTATTAGGTTCTAGCGTTTGGCGTGCAGCAAACCACAACACCGCCACACGTTGACGTTTAAAGCAAGTCTTTAAGACGTTCGTACATGTTCAGGGTTCTTTAGTACGATTTCCTTGTGCGAGTCCCTGACACGGTAGGTTTGGGGCGCTTAAGATAAACGCTCAATAGCCTTGTTTGGTATCCAGGCCTGCCAAGGCTTCAGGTAGGTTTAGGGTTTAGGGTTTAGGGTTTAGGCTTTAAGGACCACCCTGGGTGAGTTCAAGCAACAACCGAAACCCTAAAATCCGAGACCCTAAGCCCTAAACCCCTAAACGCTAAGCCCTAAACCTTATACCCAAAACCCTAAACCCAAAAACCGAAACCTCGACAAACCCGACCTTCCCATTGGGGCTCCTTCGAACCTGCGGGGTTTGCACTGCCCAAGCAGCGAGTCGGCGAAACGATCAGGTTGGTTGGTTGGTTGGTTTAGGGTTTAGGGTTTAGGGTTTGGGGCTTAGGGTTTAGGTTGGTTGGTTGGTTTAGGGTTTGGGGCTTAGGGTTTAGGTTGGTTGGTTGGTTTAGGGTTTGGGG